GGCAAGAGGCAGAGCAAATCCAGAGCACAGCACAACCATTCACTCTCTTCACCTTTTGAGAGTCTTCATTTTAACTTAGCAAGAATGTTTTCCCAGAGGAGAAAAAAAACAGCAACGGTGGGAACCTGTAAACGCCACACAAAAAATGCTGAAAGTCAAAAGTCAAACCTTTGACAGTGAGGCAGACACGCTAGTGGCTAGCAGCATCCGGCTAGCAGCACCGCTAGCCGCTAGCAGCTAGCCACATTCAGCACCGCGCTATCCTAAACCCCCTTCATTTGAAGTCCTGTCATCTTTTTTTTTCCAGGTGGCCAACTTGCTGCGACTCTTTCAGATCCCTCAGATCAGTTATGCCTCCACCAGTGCCAAACTCAGTGACAAGACTCGGTATGACTACTTCGCCCGCACCGTACCCCCCGATTTCTTCCAGGCCAAGGCAATGGCAGAAATCCTCCGTTACTTCAACTGGACGTATGTATCGACAGTGGCGTCGGAAGGTGACTACGGCGAGACGGGCATCGACGCCTTTCAGCAGGAGGCTCGAGCCCGCCACATCTGCATCGCCACGTCAGCCAAGGTGAGCCGTTCCATGAGCCGCTGGAGCTATGAGAACGTGATCCGCTCCCTGCAGCAGAAGTCCAACGCCAAGGTGGTCATCCTGTTTACTCGCAGCGAAGATGCCCGCGAGCTTCTGGTGGCGGCCAACCGCATGAACGTCTCTTTCACTTGGGTGGCCAGTGACGGTTGGGGAGCGCAGGAGAGCGTGGTGCGGGGCAGTGAAGCCGTCGCAGATGGAGCATTCACCATTGAGCTGGCCTCCTATCCCATCCCCCGTTTTAACGACTACTTCACGGCTCTCCATCCGTACAACAACAGCAGGAATCCGTGGTTCAGAGAGTTCTGGGAGAACCAGTTCCAGTGCAGCCTTCACGATTTAAGTTGTGGGAAGCACTCGCTGCGTGAGGCCCCGTTTCAACCTGAGTCCAAGATTATGTTTGTGGTGAACGCAGTGTACGCCATGGCCACTGCGTTACACAACATGAGGCAGGCCTTGTGCCCCAACTCCACCAAGGTCTGCGATGCACTTAAGCCTGGCAATGGCAGGAAATTTTACAGGGACTATATTCTCAAGACCAAGCTGGACGGTGAGTAGTCTTCAATGACCAATATCATATTTTGAAGACAAAAATATTTGATTGTCCTCACTTCAACGGTGGTGTGAAAAAAAAATGCCCCGCCCCCTTCCTGCTTTTAAAAAAAACTTGCAGTTTGTCACACTTAAATATGAACAAGTCTGATGGTAATTAGGTTTGGGTGTGGTCAGTGTACATAATCTGAAAAATGTGATTAGACACAGTAAATGCAAGATTTAATGAAGGGGAAAGTACGTCACACCGGGTCAGGTTTCTTTGAATATTTTTTTTCATTACTATTAAAAAAAAAAAAAAAA